GCGGCGCGATGGACTGCGCCGAGGGAAAATGAACCCACGTGGGTGTTCCGTGTCTGTCGGGGCAGGGAAACGTGCTGGTTTGGGATAATAAACGATGTGAGGACACGGGACTGAGGGCTCAGCGGGGCTGGTGTCCCAGCCTGGGTATCCCCATTCTGCATCGCCTCGCTGGGCATTCCCTGGATTCCCATACACTGGGATCACTGTGCACGCCCCAGCCTGGATATCCCGATCCTGCATCCCCTCGCTGCACATTCCCTGGATTCTCATACACTGGGAGCACAGTGCACAGCCAGCCTGGGCATCCCCATCCCTAGATTCCCTGAATTCCCTTACACTACAATCCCTTATCCCCTTCCCGGGCCCATTCCATCTGGGACCAGGCTGTAGCAGGCAGCCAGGGAAGGAGATTCAAGAGGTTCTTCCCAGGGAAAGCCATCCTGGCACGGCACTGTCGAGCTCTGACACAACATCCATGGGGGAGGGTGTAGAGTGTCCCTCACTGGAGATATTCCCAACTCACCTGGACACATCTCTGTGCCACTTGCTCCAAGTGACCCTTCCTTGGATGATCCCCTTCCAACTCCAGCTATCCTGAGATTCTCCAAAGAGCAGCAGCTCCGGAGGACAAGCAGAGCAAAGACAGTTCCCAAAGTGTTTTCCCAGGGTGTTATTCCCAGCTCTGCTGCCCAGAAAGCAGCATTTTGGGGGGCAGGAAGAAGGGGTGACAGCCAGAGGTAGCTCCAGAATGGCTCCTTGGATACAGCATATCTGGGAATTTGGGAACTGGCTCCAGGCGGACAGAACTGTTGAGTCACAGAATCACAAACATGTTTGGGTTGGAAACTTGAAGATGATCCAGTCCCACCACCTGCCATGGGCAGGGACACCTTCTGCTAGCCCAGGTTGCTCCAAGCCTCATTAAACCTGGCCTGGAACATTCCCGGGGATGGAGCAGCCACAGCTTCTCTGGGTAACCTGTGCCAGTGCCTCAGCACCTCACAGAGAAGAACCCCAGAGCACCAGCTAGGAAAAACCTCCAAACCAACCCTAATTCCAACCCCAATGCCTCTATTTGGAAGCCAATAATACGTTTTCAAAACACATTTCACTGCCTAATGGAAATAACTCCTGGATGAGAATATTCTTTTAATTGGAGAGGGAAAATAACCTTTGTGACTTTTAAAACAAGTTCTCTGCTTGACAGGTAAAAAAGAAAAGGTGTCAGGAGCACTCAGGGCTCTGTACATCCCTTAGCAGGGAGGGGTGCTGTTACCCCAAAGGTCTGCACTCCCCCCGACCCCACCACAAACCCTCCACCCCCAGAGCAACGCTGAATGTGGGTGTTTAAGCTGAAGAACAAGCCCCAAACCTGCAAGATCAAAGCCTGGTTAACATGCAGAGTGGGAACAGTTAGGAAACCATGGGGGGAAAAAAAGCATTTCCAAGCATTGGCTTCGCTCCCCCTGGAGCCACAACTGCTGGACAAAGCTTCACTCCTTGGGTTAGTTGTACAGATCAGCATTGTGAGAGGACACCAGTGACAGACACTCGGTAAGCAGCGCGTGACACGGCACAGAACAGACAACACCAGGCCCACAGCAGCACTGTCCATTGTCCTTGGGCCATCCAGGAGCCTGCTGTGCTCCCAGCAGACAGTCCACACTCCTCAGCCCATGTGCAAGTGCCACCTGTGTCCTTCCTTCAGGGAATCAGGGCGAGTTGTGGTCACCAAGAGTAGAGCTGTGACCCTCTGTGGCGGTCAGTGCAGGTGCAAAGAGAGGGCTGAGGAAAGCAGGGTCTGGGGCAAGTCTTTCAGTGGAGTTTGGAAGTTGTAAGGTAGCTGGCAAGAAAATCCTCCTCCCTGGCTGGCAGTGCAGGTTCTCTGCCACCTCTGCACCACGAGAAGTGCCACCGGACACAGTCGTGTCTCCTCCGCGGGGGGACACGCTGGGGAGTGGTCATTGGCATTAGCTCAGCTCTAACAGTTTATTCTCCAAGCTCACGTGTTATAGAAGATCTACTAAGATGTCCTGATGAGTGGGGACCTCTCTTCTTCAGTGCTCTGGAAGGGTAAAAGCACAGCAAGTCAGAGGAAGCACATGAGAGTTCCATCCACAGTGGGGAAGTTGGGCTGCCCAGGCTCCAAGCAGGGAAGGGAAAAGCTCTTGGCTCCTACTTCTAAGTACAGTTTCCTGTAAGAGAGCCAGCACTGCACAAAAAAAGCACCGCAGGGTGGGTGGCAGCTTGGCCAGGGACCTGCTGCAGCACCTGACAGAGGATGGAGTGCCAGAACCACCCAGGAGAGCCATAACTAACTGAATGACCTTTGTTGGCAGTCAAAGCAACAAAGTACAAAATACATGGGGTGTAGGTGTCCCTTTGCCTTTTAACCCCTGGGGAGTGTTCCAGCATGGCCAAGAGAGCTGATGTGAAGCTGTACATGGAGGCTGGGACATGCCCCATGCAATGGGATAGTTTGATGCTTTGGCTGAGCTGGTGATAACACAGGATCAAAAGCTCTAAGGAAAAACTTCCAGTCCTCCTGTAAAGGAAGCTGAAGTGTAGTCCTGAGAGAAAAATGCTTCCTGGGCACCCTGAGGGGACATATAGCGTACCCCGAGGAGAGACCAAGGGTGAAATCAAGGGTACCCTGAGGTGACATCAAGCCTGGAGAGCCCAAGACCAGCTCCTCAAAGCCAGTGCTGGAGGGGAAGAGTCTGCAGACCTCCCTGCCCAGGTGCCACCACTACCACCACCCCAAGCCCCACTGGGATGTGATGGCAGTGGGACCCATTGACCCAGAGCAGTCCCACAGGCACAGGTTCTAAGGCAGCATTTAGGGAACACCAAACACACAAGAGCACACTAAACCCACAGCAACTACCAGCACAGAACAGCCTACTAGAGTACCCAGTCTGTGTCTCTAACCAAAGGCTCCATAGCTTGTCATCTGAGCTGCCTGTTGGGGTGAAACTCTGGTATCAGCTCTCCCCCTGACAAGCACCTTAATGCCAGTGTGTCATCTTGTGACTGAACTTTTCATAAATAGATTGACAAACTGTTCGGGGAAACTTTTCTGCCTGTGAAATTTGTTTGTTCTTTGGCCAGAAATTCACTTTATGGTGCTGACAAACAATCCACTGGCACAACACAGTCGTTTCTACTGAGAGCACTGACAGACTACCAGCTAAATCTGTCCTCAAATACAGTGGGGTTTATGCATCTTGCCCTTCAGGGTCCTCTAGACAGGCTGATTTATGTTTCACTACTGTTGGCAAGGGAACTAGGCACAGAGACATGACCTGCCTTACCAGGTTTCTTAGGTTAACTCCACTCCTTTGCTTTGGCGTGTTTATTCTGAGTCTATTAAAACTTCCCCTCCCTGGAAAGGTCATTTTGAACAAAAACAACATATAAAAACACATGCAGGAAGGCACCAAAAAGGAAAAAAAACCCCCACCAAATCAACCACAAGGAAATCAACCACAGGTAGAGTAAGAAAGGTAAATGCAGGTGCTGCTTACCTCTTCACTTATCCCCCGGGACCTGCACACCAGCACAGTGAACACAACCCCAAAAACAATGCCCAGAGCCATGATTACAAAGGGGATCCCTGTGACAACACTGGCTTCCAGCAGGACATGCTTCAGTTTGCTGGCAGATGCTTCATCAATCAGAACACTCTGGGGCAGAGAGATGAAGAGGGGAAAAA